GGGCGGGACGGGGTGGGGTGGGGGGGGGCGGGGGGGGTGGGGGGGGGGGGGTGGGGGGGCGGGGGGGGGGGGGGGGGGTGGGGCGGGGGGGGGAGACAGGACGAGGAAAACCCCGCCAAAGCCAATCGCGCGGTAACCAAAACGGGACCGTAACGCACGCGGACGGGTGCGGACAGACGAACAGACGGGCAAACGGACAGAGAGACAGAACGACGGACGCACAGACACATAGGGCGAGGGCGATAAGCTGATGCTTCCGTCCAATCATCATAGCCTGGCCGGCCCTGCCCGCATCGCGCGCCCCAAAAGCTCTCCATTCTATCGCGCCGCCTGGTGCAGCTACCCCCGACCCCTTTCCGGACATCCAACACATGTCACACCCACCCCGCCCCACCCTGCCCCCCCGCCCCACCCCGCCACGCCCCGCCTCACCCCGCCCCCCAACGCCGCGGCGGTCGGCCACCATAGAGAGTCAATCGCCCACCTTTTATTAGTTATTCACGTTTACTGCCTTATGAAATAGCAAACCGGGGAGGGCAAATAAAAAAAAAATGCAGTCGCAGAAAATAAATAACATTGATGTCCGTCATGCATCTCGCTTGACAAAGGCTGTTCGGTGAAAAAAGTTCCGTGGCTCCTTTTATTTCTAATATTTTGTTGTTGTGTATTCGAGGCTTTCGGGGAGCTGACATCGCCGACGTGGGATCGAATGCGCTTGCAAAATGACTTTTCGGGCGGATAGAGGAGGCGGGCACCTCGCCGGGAGTTGGTTTCGACGGTGCTCTTGATGTCTACTCACGGTCTCGTGTTCGATTCCGGCGGTTGCGCGGGGGGAGGGGGGGGGAGGCCGCGGGTCGTGACCTGGCAGCCCCTCCGGCCCTCAGAATAAGAAAGGAACCGAGAGGGTCGAGAACCCCCTAAGAACCCTTTGGAGAGCCTACGCTAAAATTCGCATCAATCTTTCAAGGGAATGTCCTGTTGCGCAAAAGTTTGTCCCTGTATGAAATGGGTGGACCTAATTCCTTTAGTCCACTCCTGCACCGCCCATGGGTGCGAGAGAGAGACGCGGCCTGGGTGCAGAGGGAAGCAGCCCGGCAGGCAGGCAACCCAAGACACGCACCGCGTCGGTGCGGGCCGGGTTGCTCGACCGCCAGGGGTTCCAGGCGCTCCAGGCTCCAGCCAGACACTCATTAAAAAGTGTACACAATAATCCCCGCTGCCGATCGGCGCGTTTTGATGAAATCCCGGCTGCCTTGGGTCGCCTCCCTCCGGAGCCCTTCGGGGTCCTTGGGGGTGAAAGGGTTGCTGGCAGATTGAAACAAGCAACTTGGACGAGGAGGCTGAGGCGGCCGAGGTGTCCTGAAGGGCAGCGTCTCGTTAATTAATCACTTTCCCTTCATTGACTGTGGCGATGGATCGGATGGATCGGCGCTAATCCCAGCTTTCGGTGCCTCCCACACTGCCACGGCGTCGTCTTCGTGCTTCTCCGTGCTCCTCCAGGCTCGGCCCGGGTTCGAGACTCGTCGCCGCCAGCCAAGCTCTCCTCGAATCTATTTTCATTTTCTTCTCCATCTCTCGTGCTTTCCTTTTAATCTTCCCGGATGGACGCGGGAAGAAAGGCCCTCCGCCGCGGCCACCGTGTACCGGCGGCCTGTTCCGGGGGAAGGGGGGAGGGGGGGATAAGGGACCGGCCAGGCAGTGTAGGTACCTCGCTGAAAGCGACGCGACCTTCAAAGGCGAGGCTGACGGCCCGGACAAGACACTACACTGGGCGCGGCGGCGGCGCGGAGGCGGCGCCTTGCGATTGGTACGCCGTCAGCGCCGTCAGCGGCGTCAGCCTTCAGCGCCACGGCCGGGGCGGCACGGCCACTTCGATCAAGCGCCGATCTAGCGCCGTCCGTCGCAGGGGTCGATTGGCCGAAGCAGCAGCAGCAACAACAACAACAAGAGGAACAGCGAGCGAATCACACATTGGCGTCCCGAGGCGCGGCGAACGGCGCCGAAGGCGCTATTAGGCGCCCGTATGACCGATTCCTCCATTTATGGACCCCCTCCACACACACACACACACACACACACACACACACACACACACACACACACCCCACACGAGGTTAAATGTGCGAAGGGCACATAACCCGCTAATGCCGCGCGCCGGAGCCTGGCATAGCCCTTGCCGAGCCTTGCGACAAGCGGGCCGGGCCCTAAGCTGTCGTAAAAGGGAATCATTTTCTTTTAAAAGGGAAGCCGTGTCCGGGCCCCGTTTATTACATTCAATCGCATTCTCTGCGCCCTTCCTCTGGCCGGCGTGGCGCGTCTGGGAGGAGAGCGATCCCGCAAACACACGCACGCGTACACTCACACACCTACACTCACACACCTACACTCACACACACACTCGCTAATCCAAATAAAGCAGGTTCAGAATGGCCGCGGCATCCGGATCCACCACCGCGACCGACCCACCCCGGCACGGTCGGTCGGGCGGTCGACCCCGTCTCGTCTCGTCGGTCGGTGGTCTCGACACACTTTCCCTCCACGCAGGAGGAGTCACCTTGCTCGCCCTGCTCCGCCTTGCTGTCGGCCAAACTCCCTCTGGCCCGCAATCCATTACAACCCCCACACCGCATTCCAGCCGATTCCAGCCCGCCCACAGGCGTTCGCCCTTTTACACCCCCGTCGGCCGCCACTCATCCCAGCCCCGCCCCGGCCGCACGCTTGTACACCCACCAACCATCCCACCCCCACTCACGCCCACTCACGCTCACTCACTTCCACACTCGCACTCACTCCGACTCACTCCCCCACCCGCCCACAGTCCTTCTCATTCATTCACTCCCATACTCCCCTGCTCACGCCCACACTTCCACACTCACGCCCCACTTCCACACTCACGCCCACACTTCTACAGGCACGCCTTTCAACACTCACGCCCACACTTCTGCACTCCCACTCTCACAATCCTACACTCCCATCACTCCCACACTCCCACTCACTCCCACACTCCAACTCACTCCCACTCATCCCACACTCCCACTCACTCCTACACTCCCACACTCCCACTCTCGCCAGGCACAGTCCCTCCAACGACGCCACTCCACTGCCGACTGCCACGCACTTCCCCGAACGGAGCCACAGGGCTGGCAGGGCTGGCAGGGCCGGCAGGGCTCGGCCAAGGGCTCGGCCAAGGGCTCGGCCCCCGCGATCCGATCGGAGGAGGAAAACTGCGGCCGGATGAAGTCGGCTGCTTATTAGGGGTCATCCACGTGTAACGTAACGCCTTCTGTCTCTCTCGTCTCAAGTAGCCGTCCATCCGGGCGACAAGGACAGAGCGATGAAACGGCGTTACGGGGACGACCCCTTCCTGCAGCGGGCCTTCTCCTGCGCCACCCTGCCTGATTCGCACTCCGACACGTTTCCTCCTCCCCGTTGCTTTACGTAACGGCTAAAGGCGGGCCGCGTCCAGCACACTGAGAGTCCTTTTCGTCGCTCTGTCTCTCTCGCACCTTTACGGGACGCCCCATCAGTGCGAGAGAGACAGAGCGGCGAAAACGTCCCTCGGAGTCAGTCTCCAGCCTCCCCTCATTCATCGAGAGACAGTGGCCCCGGGGCCGCCGTGAAGGGCAGGATGTCAAGGCGAGGGCAGGGCCTGGGGCAGGGCCTGGGGCAGGGCCTGGGGCAGACCCTGCAGGGGTCTCGGGTCGTCCTACTCGGGCAGCGGGACGCGCCGCGGGCACAATGCTCGGCACAATGCTGGTCTGCCCGAGACTCCGCGGCACACCGGCATAACATTGGCATAACATTGGCATAATCGTCAACACGGGTCCTCGGGATTGCGTGCTTTATTCCGAGGACGGGTCCAATTTCAAGCGGGCTCGGTGTCTCTGCACTCGACTTGCGTGGCCGCGACGCCGCGACGCCGCGACGCCGCAGGCGAGGAGCGTGCCCCTGGTTGGCACCATGTTGGCACAGTGGGGCAGAGGACCGGTAGGGGCGGCCAAAATTCCAGACGCGTTTTGAGCTCCAGAGTCGCTTAGGGCCTCGCATACCGAACGTGTGATCCCACCAATGGATTGCTCTCCGAACGAGGAATCCATTCATGGGGTCACACTTTCAGTTTTTAGCGACTCTAGAGCTCGAAACGCATTAAGAGTTTTGGCCACCTCCACCGGTCTTCTGGCCCACTGCGGTTCGTAGCCCCCAACGAGTGGCGTGAGCCCGCAGCCACCTCCGGGCTACTTCGCCAAGTTTCGGGCTAATCCGAACAAAGATTTAACTTACACGCATGCGGGTTCGGCCCTTTCGGTCTACCGGTGTATCGTCCACATCATATGCCAGTAGTCCCGCGGTGCTCGAAGGTCGATGTCTCGAACAGTTTTGAAATGAAAAGAATCTACAAAGTGGTGGCGCCAACTCGGGGGGTTTTCGTCCGGATCGTCATGTGGTGCAACTTTCTCCTCGTTTCTCCTCGTCCCCTCGTCAGCGATGTAAAGGAATTAGAATCCGTTGCCTTTAAAACAGCAAAGAACCAACAAATCATCTGAAATTGGGTTTGGTCTGCGGCTGATTCGAGTAGAAAGAGAGAACAATGACTCTCTAAAACCAGTCGTGACAGTAGAGTGAGCATTACGTGGACTGGAAGTAAACGCAGCCAGAGGCTGCCGCTGCTGCTGCCGCCGCTCCAAGCGGAGCTAAGCCGGGCAGTGACATTTTAGTACCACTACCGTTCCACCTGCACCAAAAGCCAAAAGCAAACAACCAAAACAGACTCAAACCCTGGAGGAAAACCCAGCGCGGCACCGCAAAGAGAACGCAGCGGAGGCAGCCTCTCCGGTTTGGCGAAACTCCCTCACAAACTCTCTTTGGTGTAACTTGAGTAAAAAATTTCTCACACGAACCAATTTTTTAAAACATTTAAAATTGGCCTACAATCCGGAAATAATTTTTTTATATTAAAAAAATAGGGCCGAAAACACAAAATGATGCACAAGTGCACTCACCTGGTAGATAAGCCTTCGCCGGCCGGGCGGCTCATTGGGCGAGGGGTGTATCCAACCTGCACTAGCACACCGCACATGTCATGGCGACGCCGTGCCACGCCGTGCCGCGCCACGCCGAGCGCCGCGTCGAGCGCCTCACGACCGTCACGCGGAGCGCGTCGAACGGCGCCGGAGCCGTCGGACCGGGCACTACACCGCGAGCGGACGCAGCGGGCGCAGCGCGCAGCGGACGCAGCCAACACCAACGGCAGCACTGTAGCACTCCGACCGCTCTGTTCGGCCGGGCGGCGGGCACTGGCGGCGTGGCGGAGCGTGGCGGGGCGGGCGTCCTCCACCCCCTCCACCGCAAGAGGGAGTGCGGGGCGGGGCGGGGCGGGGCGGGGCGGGGCGGGGCGGGGCGGGGTGGGGCGGCGTGGGAAGGGGGTGCTCGGGGGGCGTGCGCGCGCCTTTCTGGAGGGTGTCGGCGAGGGAGGGAACCGGAGGGAACGGACCGCTATGCTCAGGTGGTGCCGCGAGGCACGCCTCGGCACGCCTGGCTCCGGAGGCAAGTTCTCGCGCGAAGCGGGCGGGGCGGGGCGGCTGCATTGGTTGCCCCGGAATTTCTTGGCTTACGGCAATTTTGTTTCGGGTAATGAGGGGACAGGGGGGCTGGGGGGCTGGGGGAAAGGAGGGCGTCGGCGTCGCCTCGATGATGGCGTGACCGAAAGGGAGAGAGAGTCACGGATGGCGCCGAGACTCGAGTCGACGTCCCCGCGCGATCAAGTCCTCTCTGCACATTCATGAGCGAACTCAAAGCACCGCACGGCGCGGCCATGTCGCACCATGCTTCGCTTGTGAAAGCCACATCAGCGCGAGCGTCGTGTGTGCGTGCGTGTCTGTGTGCGCTTCCGGGGCCGCGGGCCGCTCGGCGGAAGCAGTCGGGAGCAGGCGGAAGCATCGGCCCGGGTTCAAAGTCGGGCTGGATTTTGACTGGCGGCCAAACAAATAGCTTTCTCTCACAATCCAGCCAAACAGCTGCGCACTGCGTCACAAACTTTTCACACCCCTTCGCCGCGACGCTCGCCCCCGCCCTCCGAGTCCCGCCACGCCCCGCCTCACCACGCCTCGCCACACCACGCCCCGCCCATCGCAGCGAGCCTTTTCTTCTAGTGCGCGTGGGAAGTGGCGGCGCGTGGCGGGGCGTGGCGGGGCGTGGCGGGGCGAGGCGGGGCGTGGCGGGGCGAGGCGGGGCGTCGTGGCGCTCCCGGTAAAAGCCCCCGCTGGTATTATCTGGCCGCGCCGTGGCGAGCCGGACCGGCCGTCCGTCTGTTCGTCCCGCCAAAGTTTCCCTCGCTTCTCAAGGGATCCGGGATCGAGCGCGAGGATGCACTCCTCTCTTCTCGCTTTTCGTGCCAGTGCCGGCCTTGGCTGCCTGCTGCCTTGGCCAGCGCGGTCAGCAGCCAGCACGGCCAGCACGGCCAGCACGGCCAGCACGGCCACCAGCACGGCGTTGCGGCACTGCGGCGACCGCCCCGCCCCGCCCCGCGACGCCCGCCGCACAGTCGGCTCCGTTACATTTTGGCTCAGCACACCCCGCGCCGCGCCCCGGCTCGTGTAGGTTACATTGGGATCGGGGCAAATAAAGGCCAAGGAGGCCGAGCTGGCTGCTGCCGGCAATTAGGCCGTAAGTGGCTGTGTGTATGTTCGTGAGCGATGGCAGCCGTGCCGGGGACGGCGGGAGAGGGGAGGGAGAGAGAGGGAGAGGGGGCGTTAATTCACCCCATCCCTCCCTTGGGGCGTGCCGGCCGTAGCACCGTGCTCTCCACCGTGCTGGCGGCGTGCTAGCGGCGCTAGCGGAGGCCGAAAGACCACCGGCGGACTCCGAAGGCGTCGCTTCGTCGCTCTGCCTCTCCCGCACCGCAGAGTGACCATGGCCGCCCGTGAGTGCTGCAGAGACAGCGACGAAAGCGACCCTTCGGAACCCCTCGCCAGGTGGACGCGGTCCTGTCGATGGATGGACGCGGCCTGCACGGCAATCAGCGCGTGGCTTCGTGTCGCCGACGACAACGCGGCGGCCCGGCGCGGCCCGGGTTCGAGCCCCGCCAACGCCGATGTGCGGCGGCCTTTTTTGTGGGCCGTTTTTTATCGACCCCATGGTCTGACAGTGACCCCCCATCTGCACGAAATGTAGTCAGGCTGTAGTCAGGCTGTAGTCGGGCTGTAGTCAGGCTGCAGTCAGACTGTGGTCAGGCTGTAAACAGGCGATAGTGGAAGGAAAAGTGGTTCGTCCTCGGCCAGGCCACCACGTCAAGAGACACTCCCCCTCCCCGGTGGCAGTGTGTCCGAACCGCGCGATCACCGCAGCGCAGCGCCCGGCGTGCCTCCAGTGCCTCCAGGAATGATGACTTTCTTATAGTTCCTCCATTATTCCTCGCCTCCCCCGAGCTCCCCCCAGGCTTGACGCGCCCAGGCTCCGGCCCCTCCGGGTTTCGGCTTGCGACGCGTCACGATGTCAGTTGACATTGGCACATTTTGCACGCGGGTTTGTAAACTTGCGCGAGCGCCATAAGCCCCGCCACTCGCCGCCCCTCCTCGCCCCGCCTAAGCTTTTCGTAATTAACCTCCTCCCAGGAAGGCTACAATTTTCGTCGCAGTGTATCACTTTTGACGGCGAGGGATCTTGACTTAAAACTTTGGCGGGAACAAGTCCCCTCCCCGGTCCCTGCCTGGTCCCTCCGCCACCGCCGCTGCCGACGAGAGCGTTACCGCCCTGCCAAAAATAGTCCACGACGGAGCGGCGCAGTGTGTGTGAGCACAGCAAAGGGCAAATTTGAATAGTTTTGACAAAAACTTGAGCGGTGAAAAGACCCAGTTGTGAGTACACCTCAGCCAAATTTCTCTGCGCAATTTTCCACGAAATCTAGCGTAAAAGAAACTAGTTCATAACACCCAGCATTGGCGTTTCAGCGAGGTTGAGAGGGTTTACTTTTGTCGTGTGTGTGTGTGTGTGAGTGAGAGTGAGTCGCAGGCCGAAAAGGGGCGGTGCTCCGTGGAAATTGGTTCGGCTCGAGGCGCTGGTCCGAGCCCAGGCCGAGGCCCGCGCCGAGGCCGAGGGCCCCGCTGCCCCACTGCCCCGCACCACGGCCTCGGTCCCGCACGTCCAAACTCAAAGGCTCCTCAAAATTACAATGCAGAAAGGAGGCGAGGAGGAACAGCACGGGACACGGGGGGACATGAAAGACCCTCGTGCTTCGCTCATTGATATTTGAAATGGACGCCAAGAGTCCCTCCAGCGCAGCCCAGGCCGAGGCGAGTCAAGGCTCGCGGACCGCGGCAGGCGAGCGCCCAGCAGGTAGGCCACGCGGAGCGGGCCGCGCGCGCCGGTCCAGAGGGTGGCCGATGCTCCGATGCGCAGGCGCTCGCCGCGGCTCGCCGAAAACCGAAACGGACCGCGCCGTCCTGCCCTCTCTGGTCCGCCCTTCCGGAACACTGCCGGCGGGACACCAGTGGAGGTCCAGCAACGGCCGTCAAGACTATTCCCTGTCCGTCCATGCCGTTTCAACGATCCATGATTATTCGCGTGATTATTTTTTGGCAAAAGAAAGAAAGAAAGAAAGAAAGAAAGAAAGAAAGAAAGAAAGAAAGAAAGAAAGAAAGAAAGAAAGAAAGAAAGAAAGAAAGAAAGAAAGAAAGAATTACTTACTTAGTAGATTTTACCAGCTGTTAAAATCAGGACCGCCGACCGCCTGTTGTACTTGAAGTCACAGACATCCTAGAACAGTGGTTCTCAACCTTAGGGTCGCGACCCCAAGTGGGGTCGCGAAAAAATTTTAAGGGGTCGCGGCGAGGTAGCTGGGGTCGTGTTTTGGGCCGATTTTAAGCAGCCACTGCGTCTGATCCGAGGCGGGCATTTTGCTCCCTCAACCGGCAATTGGTCTTTGAACCTTCCTTTAGCATGCCTTTGTTACGGAGTGTGATTATCAGTCTTAGTTTGGGAGCAGTATTGTCTCAAAGTTGGCCGAAACGCTCAGAAATGTCTTTGAAAAATCGTTGTGCCTGTTTTTGTCAACTTTGAGACAATACTGCTCCCAAACTAAGACTGATAATCGCATTCCGTAACAGAGGCATGCTAAAGGAAGGTCCAAAGAACAATTGCCCGTTGAGGGAGCAAAATGCCCGCCTCGGATCAGACGCAGTGGCTGCTTAAAATCGACCCAAAACATGATTTTTTAAAGACATTTCTGAGCGTTTTGGCCAACTTTGAGACAATACTGCTCCCAAACTAAGACTGATAATCGCACTCCGTAACAGAGGCATGCTAAAGGAAGGTCCAAAGACCAATTGCCCGTTGAGGGAGCAAAATGCCCGCCTCGGATCAGACGCAGTGGCATGCTAAAGGAGGGGTCCCGTGGGGTCGCGAAACTTTTCCTGGGGGTCGCGGAAATTTTTGGCTACAAATTTGGGGTCGCGAGCCGAGAAAGGTTGAGAACCGCTGTCCTAGAACGTCCTGGCACTGTTCAGACCCTAGAATTTCATGCCCCGCTTCGGGAGCGCCTCGACTGAGCATAGTTTGGCAGCACCGCTCGCGTAAAAATGGTCAAAATGTGTACCAATCTCTGAAAAATTGCAAAGGGTCCAAAAATAAGTTTGAAGAATGAAATCAGTGGCATTTCCCCCCCAGTCGGTTTGTGCCCAGAGGTTGGCAGTGTGCTGGCAGTCACTGGCGGCCGCAATTTGCGGCCGGGGCACGCAGCTACGCGCAGCTCGGCACAGCTTGGCCGATATCGGCAAGCCGAGGCTAGCGGGGGCTCCACCACAGCCACGCGTATCGGCCACGCGTAGCGGCCACGCGTAGCGGCCACGCGTAGCGGCCACGCGTAGCGGCCACGCGTAGCGGCCACGCGTAGCGGCCACGCGTAGCGGCCACGCGTAGCGGCCACGCGTAGCGGCCACGCGTATCGGCCACGCACTCTCGCTTCCAGTGCGAGCACACCCAAAACATGCACACATCCAGCGCGCATAAAAGAGTTTACTAATATGAGTTTGAAAATAATGGCCAGTTCTGGCCACTTCAAGACGCCCCGATCATTGTCAGCTCAGATAATACTGTGCACCCTTTGGTCCGTGTGGTCTGTGA